AGTAACCCCTTCTCCTGTAGACATTTACTAAAAAAGAGAAGAAGAAAAACTTTATAAAACTGGGATGCTTGAATGTGCGTGGATGTAGTGCGGATGACAAGAAACAGATGATTGCTGATGTTATGAATGAAAAGAAGTTGGATGTCCTGGCCCTAAGCGAGACAAAGCTGAAGGGGATAGGGGAGTTTCGATGGGGGGAAATAAATGGGATTAAATCTGGAGTATCTGAGAGAGTTAGAGCAAAGGAAGGGGTAGCAGTAATGTTGAAGGATCAGTTATGGAAGGAGAAAAGAGAATATGAATGTGTAAATTCAAGAATTATGTGGATTAAAGTAAAGGTTGGATGCGAAAAGTGGGTCATAATAAGTGTGTATGCACCTGGAGAAGAGAGGAATGTAGAGGAGAGAGAGAGATTTTGAGAGATGTTAAGTGAATGTATAGGAGCCTTTGAACAAAGTGAGAGAGTAATTGTGGTAGGGGACCTGAATGCTAAAGCAGGAGAAACTTTTAGAGAGGGTGTGGTAGGTAAGTTTGGGGTGCCAGGTGTAAATGATAATGGGAGCCCTTTGATTGAACTTTGTATAGAAAGGGGTTTAGTTATAGGTAATACATATTTTAAGAAAAATAGATATGATGTAGGGCGAAATGACAGTAGTTTGTTGGATTATGTATTGGTAGATAAAAGACTGTTGAGTAGACTTCAGGATGTACATATTTATAGAGGGGCCACAGATATATCAGATCACTTTCTAGTTGTAGCTACACTGAGAGTAAAAAGTAGATGGGATACAAGGAGAATAGAAGCATAAGGGAAGAGAGAGGTGAAGGTTTATAAACTAAAAGAGGAGGCAGTTAGGGTAAGATATAAAAAGCTATTGGAGGATAGATGGGCTAATGAGAGCATAGGCAATGGGGTCGAAGAGGTATGGGGTAGGTTTAAAAATGTAGTGTTAGAGTGTTCAGCAGAAGTTTGTGGTTACAGGAAAGTGGGTGCGGGAGGGAAGAGGAGCGATTGGTGGAATGATGATGTAAAGAGAGTAGTAAGGGAGAAAAAGTTAGCATATGAGAAGTTTTTACAAAGTAGAAGTGATGCAAGGAGGGAAGAGTATATGGAGAAAAAGAGAGAGGTTAAGAGAGTGGTGAAGTAATGTAAAAAGAGAGCAAATGAGAGAGTGGGTGAGATGTTATCAACAAATTTTGTTGAAAATAAGAAAAGTTTTGGAGTGAGATTAACAAGTTCAGAAAGCCTAGAGAACATGGATTTGTCAGTTAAAAATAGGAGAGGAGAGTTATTAAATGGAGAGTTAGAGGTATTGGAAGATGGAGGGAATATTTGAGGAATTGTTAAATGTTGATGAAGATGGGGAAGCTGTGATTTCGTGTATAGGGCAAGGAGGAATAACATCTTGTAGGAGTGAGGAAGAGCCAGTTGTGAGTGTGGGGGAAGTTCGTGAGGCAGTAGGTAAAATGAAAGGGGTAAGGCAGCCGGGATTGATGGGATAAAGATAGAAATGTTAAAAGCAGGTGGGGATATAGTTTTGGAGTGGTTGGTGCAATTATTTAATAAATGTATGGAAGAGGGTAAGGTACCTAGGGATTGGCAGAGAGCATGCATAGTTCCTTTGTATAAAGGCAAAGGGGACAAAAGAGAGTGCAAAAATTATAGGGGGATAAGTCTGTTGAGTATACCTGGTAAAGTGTATGGTAGAGTTATTATTGAAAGAATTAAGAGTAAGACGGAAAATAGGATAGCAGATGAACAAGGAGGCTTTAGGAAAGGTAGGGGGTGTGTGGACCAGGTGTTTACAGTGAAACATATAAGTGAACAGTATTTAGATAAGGCTAAAAGAGGTCTTTGTGGCATTTATGGATATGGAAAAGGCGTATGACAGGGTGGATAGGGGGCAATGTGGCAGATGTTGCAGGTGTATGGTGTAGGAGGTAGGTTACTGAAAGCAGTGAAGAGGTTTTACGAGGATAGTGAGGCTCAAGTTAGAGTATGTAGGAAAGAGGGAAATTATTTCCCAGTAAAAGTAGGCCTTAGACAATGAGTGTGATGTCACCGTGGTAGTTTAATATATTTATAGATGGGGTTGTAAGAGAAGTAAATGCGAGGGTCTGGCAAGAGGCGTGGAGTTAAAAGATAAAGAATCACACATAAAGTGGGAGTTGTCACAGTTGCTCTTTGCTGATGACACTGTGCTCTTGGGAGATTCTGAAGAGAAGTTGCAGAGATTGGTGGATGAATTTGGTAGGGTATGCAAAAGAAGAAAATTAAAAGTGAATACAGGAAAGAGTAAGGTTATGAGGATAACAAAAAGATTAGGTGATGAAAGATTGGATATCAGATTGGAGGGAGAGAGTATGGAGGAGGTGAATGTATTCAGATATTTGGGAGTGGACGTGTCAGCGGATGGGTCTATGAAAGATGAGGTGAATCATAGAATTGATGAGGGGAAAAGGGTGAGTGGTGCACTTAGGAGTCTGTGGAGACAAAGAACTTTGTCCTTGGAAGCAAAGAGGGGAATGTATGAGAGTATAGTTTTACCAACGCTCTTATATGGGTGTGAAGCATGGGTGATGAATGTTGCAGCGAGGAGAAGCGGGGTAGGGGTCGGCCTAGGAAAGGTTGGAGGGAGGGGTAAAGGAGGTTTTGTGTGCGAGGGGCTTGGACTTCCAGCAGGCATGCGTGAGCGTGTTTGATAGGAGTGAATGGAGACAAATGGTCTTTAATACTTGACGTGCTGTTGGAGTGTGAGCAAAGTAACATTTATGAAGGGATTCAGGGAAACCGGCAGGCCGGACTTGAGTCCTGGAGATGGGAAGTACAGTGCCTGCACTCTGAAGGAGGGGTGTTAATGTTGCAGTTTAAAAACTGTAGTGTAAAGCACCCTTTCATGACCTTATGTGTGTTTATCATGACTTTATCTTTGACTCCTATCAACCAAAGTGAACATTTTGAGGACTTTCACCCTTTCATCACAACTTTTCTTTTTATTTTTTAGCTCTATGAGCACTATTATGACTTAATCTTTAAGTTTTTTCAGTCTTGTTTAGATTTTTTAGGTGTGGGCATTATATAGCTGTGTATATAACAAAAAGGCACAATACCGTGACTGGAACAATACACAAATAACCCGCACATAAAAGAGAGAAGCTTACGACGACGTTTCGGTCCGACCAGTGTGACTTTGTCAATGGTCCAAGTCGGTCCGAAACGTCGTCGTAAGCTTCTCTCTTTTATGTGCGGGTTATTTGTGTATAGCTGTGTATATTAGCTTAATGTGGATTTTTTTTAGCAAGCCTTAACTTTTGCTCAAAAATCAAGACTTCCATTGATATATGATTCAATATCAACTGATAATTTATTAATATTTATAGTTCAGTTTTATCAAGAAAGGTTAAAAGTGATTTTTTCCTGATGCCACTGCCTGTACAAGATGAAGATACATGCAGTAAGGGGTGAAGATACATGTAAGATGGAAAGATACATGTAGTAATGTAATAGTGGGGTTTAGATGTTGTGATAGTTGTAGGGAAACACTGTAGACTCTGTTAAGGACACATTATTATTGAAAAACATGGAGAGCCCAGCCTGTATGCCTCTGCGCACCTCGTCATCTATCACTGGAGTGAGCCCGAGCACTCTGGCCTACGGCCTACGTAGAAGTCACGTGACATTAGAATGACAAGGGAGCCTCACTATAATGGTATTGGGGAATCTATATAGTACATAAGTATTACACTGTTAACAGCTCAGCAACGCTGATGTGTGGCATCTTCAACATACAGCTAAACTAGTACGAAGGTAGACAGCAGACATTTCAGGTTCTGGGCTGATTCTATGCAGTGCAAGGAAAATATTGTACACAACACGTGCGGCCAGCAGTCACAGCCTGTTTGATCAGGCCCTGATCCACCGGGAGGCCTGGTCGTGGACCGGGCAGCGGGGGGCTTTGATCCCCGGAATAACCTCCAGGTAACCTCCAGGGAGTAAGTGCTGAGTAAGTGGGAGTAAGAGGCTCAAATACAGCAGTTAATATGCGAGTTAACTTTGGAGGATTTGAAGTCTTTAAAACTTCATAAGTGCTGGCAGATTGCCGTATGCTTAGGAGTGAAGTATAATAAATATTACACCGCCGAGACCACTCGATCTATTTTAAGAAAGATGTTTCCGGAACAAGGGGAGTGGATACCCTTCGCCATACTGATGAGACAAGTCTAATATCTCAGTGTGAAGACTTGAAACAACTGCTTGGAGCAGAAGGACCTGATCTTGGTGGCCTTCTAAATTCCCTACTCTCTGGTGATGTAGCTGAGCCAGAATCAAGGAGAACAGCTGGTGAGCTGACATCCCTGGGAGAGGTGCCTGAAATTGGGGCGACCAGTTGCCTAGTTTCCGACCCTAGTCCACTAGAAGTACCCATGACTCTCGCTTACTCACGATACAAAATTATATCTAAAGAATTATTTTCCCCAGTTAAAACATTCCCACATTATTAAATTGCAACAGAATACACAAAACTGTATTATGATAATCGCCCATAGTTCTTGGGAAGCTGCACCTAATTGACGCCCCGCCTCTAAAACCGTCTTATATACAGTACGTGACACTCTTTGCTTATCTTTCTTGTCTCTTGTTAGCAAAATTACATGGCATGTATTTGTGACACCTTACATTAACACGTATGTCTTCGTGTTCGTGGTTATGTGTTTGTATGCAAATTGCCTCTATTAGGAACTGGTCTGTGATCTTGTTTAAATCAATCTTAAATGTAGCAGTTTTCGGCATATTGAAATTTTGAAAAAATTATGCAAATTAGTGTAATTAGATTACTGAATGAAATTATTGTAATTCTGCGAGTGCTGAACTGACTTCTTAATTCCATGTTCTGTTGTGTTATGTTACGATGTGATTGAACGACTCACGTGATGTTCTAAAATTTAAATATTCATTTTTCCTGAACCATTTTTTTTTACGTATTATTTTTTTTTTACAGAATATGGAGGTCGGTGGAAGATGCTGCATTACTACTCCAAAAAATTCTTTTCTCCTCTCATAGTAACTCTTTCACGAGATAATGATGATGTGAGTTTATCATTATGATAGCAGTAAGTCAGTTTTCCCTAAAACTTAACATATTTTCTTTAAAATTACCTATCAAGACTTAAATATTAAAGCAGCTTGCAGGTTTGAATATCAAAATGGTATACAATACCGACAGGTTGGTAGGTAAGACACACAGGCAACAGTTAGGTAACTTTATTCCAGTAGAGATGTGAAGACGACTACATCGTCTTCACATTTCTACTGTTCCTGCCTACTTTCTGTACTCGACTGAAGAAGCCTACTGTGTAGGCGAAACGTTTCGGAATAAAGTTGCCTAAATGTTGCCTATGTGTCTTACCTACCGACTTGCAGTTTGTTCTTCAAGAGATTCTTGTGGTGGTATTAATACTACTTGTAGTAAAAATTAAGAATTTTACTGAGATTTATTTCTAGATTCGTTTAGTAACTTCATTTATTTGATCTGTTTTTAATATTGTGTTATGCAATAGCTCACAGACTTTTGCCTCTCACATAATTCATATACCAAATGTTTGGAAAACTAATAGATTAATTATATTTCATTTCAAACTTCTAAACATTTTTAAATTCAAAAGAAACTGGTAGTTTATATAGTGGAACACAGTCGGTAATTGTTTTATTTGAAGCTGACTCGATGTTTGATTAGTGTTACACGTGGACTCGGTGGAAGACCTCGTCGGTCAGAAGACCAAAAGTTCCAGTGGCTAGGTTAGATTAGGTAAGGTTTGTCAGGAAACAGGACAAGTGTTTCCTGACGCGGGTCTTAGATGATGACCCGCTGTTTGGGCTTTTGATCATCTGAGTGAGGCCTTCCGCTGGCTTACTGGTCCACCCTTTTAAAAATTATGGTCGGTTATAACCATGTAGTTACTTTTTTTGTGAGCGAATTGCTCCAGTGGCGACTCATCATATAACTTAAGACCACCTCAAGAAACACTTGCCTCGTGTCTAACGTATTTTACCTAAACTAACTTTCACACTGCCATTCTTCCATAATAATTCATTATTTTAAAGAAAGTATTACTTTTCCATAGTTATCATATATTCTCATTTAATGTGTACCTTGTGTACATATGGTACATCATGTGTACCTTGTGTACATATGGTACATGTGTACCTTGTGTACATATGGTACATCATGCCTCTCCAGACTACGTTGGTAAGTCGTGTACAATACTAACGTTCACCTGTGGAAGGCACACACTGCTAAGTGCTCTAATTATATTTCAAGATCACACAGACATTCTGCATTTGCTTCTCAAATTCAAATTCAAATATTTATTTCCTTGTAAAGCTTACAATGTTTGCATTGCATGTTTGCATGTTACAAAATTTTAATTACGAAGATGACCACTATCGTGCCTAGGCACTTCGGGTAGACTAATTCGAATTCTTACGCTATATTGATATAGTTTATAATTGAGCGGTACATTTGAGCATATTATTATATACGTAATTAGATACAGATTACTTCATCAGGAGCTTTTGCCCTGTAATTACAAGTGACGAACTTAAAGATCAGTCGATGAAATAGGATGCAATGATCTAATATCGTGTGTGCTGTCTGTCGTGTCTGTATTGTAGTTTGTGTTGGTGCGTGTGTGTGTGTGTGTGTGTGTGTGTGTGACTCAACAATCAATATTTGCACCAATAACTCACTACAGTTGTGACCGGGTGTGGAAGTGTGAATTGCTCATTACACTATAATTTGTTCATGATTGTAGCCATATATAAACGTAAGTAACCATTCTTACAGTATTCATTACCTTTGTAACTTGTGAGTTCATTACCTTTGTACCTAGTTCAGCTATCAAAACTTTGGGAGCCCAGTCCCTGGACCCATTGCGTACCTCTGTAATCTGTAAATACCTTTGTAACTTGTCATGGTTGTGACCTACGCATTACCTGAGTTCATTACCTTTGTAAATTGTGAGTTCATTACTTTGTAAATTGTGAGTTCATTACCTTTGTAAATTGTGAGTTCATTTAATTACCTTCTGTAACTTGCTCAGCTATCAAAACTTTGGAGTCCAGTCCCTGGACCAATTATGTACCTTTGTAATCTTTTGACTACCGCCCACAGGATGGGTATGTGGTGACTACCGCCCACAGGATGGGTATGAGGTGCATAATAAACATATTAAACAACTAGTGTAAGACACATATCTTTATACAGTTAGGTAAGTCTTTATATTCGGACGTTCGCTACACAGTAGGCTTCTCAGTTCCGAGTACGAAATGTTGAAGAAGCAGAACAATACTTGAAGACGGTTGTCAATCGTCCATCACCCTTAAAGTTTTGAGGTGTGAACCGACAGTCTGAGAAGAGCATTGTACTTGCATCTTTATTGTCTTGAAATGGCACATATGAAGGTGAAGTGACAGAATGGAGCCTTAATGTGCAGGAGGTGAGACGTAGGTTGCTTTGGGAGGGCTGTCCCTCATAAAACCCAATGCCGTTCTCACTAGTGAGGTTGTCGACAGTTAGATGTCCAGTACAAAGATCACCACTTGTGTATTGCAGTTGGTCTGGACAGCAATGAATCATTAAAGATGGTGATATAAATGGTCATTTGACGGGCATATTAAGAGCTGCTTCCAGATAACAGTGAAATGTTTCACTTGCATAGTTCTGCAGTGTATTGTATAGGTGGCAGCGTACACAAGGAGCTGCAGCCACACGTTCACCTCACTTATCTAGGTTCGTCGGGTGGATCCTGATCGAGGACAGGGCCGCGGGGGCATTGACCCCGGGAACTACCCCCATATAGCAGGTAGACCCCAACCCGGGTCTTCTCCATGCGGTGACCCTGCCACCTCAATCAGACGCCGGGTTTGAACTGACTAGGCCAGGCTGCCGCTAGCCTGGGGTGCCAGTGCTACCTGAGGAGCCTGCCGGCCTCCCCGGCTGTCCTACCCCGGCTCTCCTACCCCGGCTCTCCTACCCTTGCAGTCCTACCCCGGCTGTCCTACCCCGGCTCTCTTACCCTTGCAGTCCTACCCCGGCTGTCCTACCCTTGCAGTCCTACCCCGGCTGTCCTACCCCGGCTGTTCTACCCCGGCTGTCCTACCACGCATGCGTCAACAGGACATCTATGATATAAAGGCGAATATGCCATACCCGATTCTAATGGCTATTTCCTGTGAACCAGTGGTTCATATACCAAACATGTACACAGGGCCTCACAAAGGAACTTCAGAGGTTTGAGAAAGACCTGCCTAGTATGGACCAGTAGGTCTGCTGCAGTGTTCCTCCTTATGTTCTTATGTAGCGGCCGATACTGACGTTACTGACATACCCAGCTGTGCTCCACGGCACTGTTACCAACACTGTGGACACTAGTGGCTCTTCTAGTGTTACCAACACTGTGGACACTAGTCGGCTCTTCTAGTGTTACCAACACTGTGGACACTAGTCGGCTCTTCTAGTGTTACCAACACTGTGGACACTAGTCGGCTCTTCTAGTGTTACCAACACTGTGGACACTAGTCGGCTCTTCTAGTGTTACCAACACTAGAAGATATTAATGGGTTTTTCTAGAGTATTGTTAACAATACTTACGCTCTATTGCAGTGTTACCAATACTGAGTACTCGTGTATGCTTTACAGCAGTGTTACCAATACTGAATACTCTTCAATGCTTTACAGCAGTGTTACCAATACTGAGTACTCTTCTATGCTTTACAGCAGTGTTACCAATACTGAGTACTCTTCTATGCTTTACAGCAGTGTTACCAATACTGAATACTCTTCAATGCTTTACAGCAGTGTTACCAATACTGAGTACTCTTCTATGCTTTACAGCAGTGTTACCAATACTGAGTACTCTTCTATGCTTTACAGCAGTGTTACCAACCCTGTGTAAACTATTGTGCTCTTCAGTGCTACCAACGCTGCGTGCACTACTCTGCAGTGTTGCCAACAATACTGTGATCTATTACAGAGTTAACAAAAATGTGCCGTACTGTGTTGTACTACAGTGTTACCAACTGCTGTGTTTCATTTCGGAATTATTATATACTTTGTTCCTGGAACATTGTTGAACTCCTCTTATAAAATAACGGAACTCTCTAAAACGTTTAGAAATTTCCATTATTAATAATGACAGTTAATATTATTACTATACACAAATAACCTGCACATAAAAGAGAGAAGCTTACGACGACGTTTCGGTCCGACTTGGGCCATTGACAAAGTCACACTAACCAGAGGTGGAGCAACGGCTATATATAGCAGGAGAGTGTGTGGTTTGGGTAGTAGAAGTGTAGTAGTAGTAGTAGTAGTAGTAGTAGTAGTAGTAGTAGTAGTAGTACAAGAGTTGTATATAATACCGACAAGTTGATAAATTAGACACATGTGCAACTCTGGTATCTTTATTGAGGAAACGTTTCGCCACACAGTGGCTTCATCAGTCCATCAATCTTGATGGACTGAACAATCGACTCAAGTTGAGGGACTGATTACCTCACTCTATCTGTTCTTCAAGTTTCTTACTATGAATGATGAGCCTACTGTGTGGTCAAACGTTTCCTCAATAACTGTACAGAGTTGCACATGTTCTAATTTATCAACATGTCGTTCTCTGAGCCATTCATAACACAAATCCGACATGATGAAATTAAGACCTTACACAACACCATAATTTATATAATAATATAGTTAATATTATTACTATATTATTATTTTTATGCTTCGTGTTTTATTATTTTTGTTGGGTACTTTTCCCAGAATATATTATTACCGCTTGTTCATTGTTTTCCAGATAAACGTGTACGTGGTGAGTGACTTGGTGGAGGATGTGTCACACCTGGTGTTAAGTATTGACCTTTATCGATATGATCAGAGAGATAAGGTCAATTCTTACAACACCACCTTGACCGCCGTAAGTTATTAAATAATATCAGAGAATTTTAACCAAAAGTGAAAGTAAAATTAGATTTTGCCGCCAGTGCGGATAGTTTGTGCTTCCCATATACCTTGAGTTGACTGTTGTGGGATAGGATAGGGATGTCCGTAATCCTTAATAACGAGGCTCTGAAATTATTTATACGAGTACATTTAGGTAAACATTTACAATCTATATTTGTTGAAAGAATATCTTTTCAAATTTTCTGGCATTCGGTTCAGTAATTGTACCCTGAACACGTCTGTATATCCGTTCTTTAAATCTCACTACGTGGACAGGCAAGCATATATTGTTCAAGAAAGTGACCATATAACTGACTACAAATTTAAAATGAACAAAATAAGATAACGTTTGGTAATAAAGGTAATGAGGCCCTGAATCTGCACTCTCTTGAAGGTGTAGAATTATGGGGGATATGATCGAGGTGTATAAATGGAAAACAGGAATAAATAAAGGGGATGTAAATAGCGTACTGAAAATTTCCAGCCAAGACAGGACTCGCAGCAATGGTTTCAAGTTGGAAAAATTCAGATTCAGGAAGGACATAGGAAAGCACTGGTTTGGTGATAGAGTTGTGGATGAGTGGAACAAACTCCCGAGTACAGTTATTCAGGCTAAAACGTTGTGTAGTTTTAAAAATAGGTTAGATAAATACATGAGTGGGTGTGGGTGGGTGTGAGTTGGACCTGACTAGCTTGTGCTGCTGGGTCTGGTGCCGTGCTCCATCCTTGAGTGGAGGTGACCAGACTGGGTGGGTCATTGGGCTAATCCGGGGGGGGGGTCATTGGTCTAATCCGGGGGGGGGACATGGACCTGCTCCGCATGAGTCAGTAGGCCTGTTGCAGTGTTCCTTATTTCTTACGTTCTTAAGTTCTTAATGCTGACAGTTGCAAGAAGATACAAAATGCAATAACTTTGACAATTTATTGGAAACGTTACTGTCCTGGAACACTGGCTACCCTATATGTAAATATAAGTGGGAAAACATAAGCTTAAATAGACAGGAAGGAGTGGCAGTGACGTTCAGTTTTAGTGGTTCATCTGATGGCCGTATCTGGTGGTGGACGGGGCGAGGTTTGTTAGGTAAAGTTCACTAGTTTAGTGACAGTACTATAGCTTCTTGCTAGTTGTGTAGACAGTGCTTGGCATCGTGATGAGTTGTGAACTGGCACCATTCATCATGTATCCCTCTGTGCTTCTGTAGACCACGGCCACATAACTCATGTCATCCCTGTTGTACGCATATTTATGTTTGTTTATCCTAGTGGACAAACTTCTACCCGTTTCTGCTACTTACGTCTTGCAATGATCACACGGACTCGTGTAGATAAAAGACGATAGAACCGGTTGGTGAGTAGGGGACAACTTCTTAGTGATTTCACTGATGAATGCAGAGACCACAGCAGCCAAGTTGCTCCTGGTTAGTGTGTCGCATTCCTGGCTACACCACCTCAGTGGCTGTTTCCTGGAAACCGTATAGAGGATGACCTTAGCCGTGCATCTATAGGTGTGTAATGAAAAACTTCTTCATTATCGGGTTTATTGTATTCTTTAAACAGTGTCGCTTTCGTGAGGCCTGCAGGAAAAAAAAATATCTGAGAGTCTGCCATCTCGTTTTCTCAACAGTGCTAATTTTTTCAATGAGGTTGTGTATATTGAGACGCCTATGATAACTCTGGTACGTGTCACAACCTTGTCACAGTGCTGGCAGATGGTGATATTCCTCAGCCGGTAGAAGATGCAAAGTCCAGCATCCATTTGTAAAGGGAGGGTCAGTGGAACCATCCAGCTGGTGACTACTTGGGTCCTGCTTGCATGTTTTTTGGCTTCAATGATTTGTTGACTCTTGATTAAATAGGAAGGATTCATGTCTAAACGGTATCCAAACAGTATTATACTTAACCTTTTTTATTGTTTTGCATTTCTAGTGAAGGATAGAGCAACCTGATGCTTCCATAATTTGTAATGAGTCCGTCTTGGATCATATCATCGTTTTTTATTCCTAATACACAGTCATGTAAATAATTTTTGAATTAAGTCCTTGTCTTAATAAGGTGCTTCTTTGTTATTTCCATTATCCAGGCGCATTTAACAGTAAGTTGAGTGTTCCAATCCTTTTACCTCTTGAGGAAAAGCTAATCTCTTCTTGTATACATCAAATTCACTTATTATTTGGCTAATTAGGATCTGTGTGAGCTACGTCGATGCTCCAGTCATTTCTTCTACTTTTAGCTACTTTAAATCCTTCATTATTTTTAACAAACACGTTGGACATTTCTTCAGGAAAATCTATTATCATGGTAATAAAGGTATGACAAAGGTTTCACAACAATACTCACATTACTCACCAAGCTGTCACACACTCGCCAACACAGTTCACCTACAGCCCCAATCCCATTTAAATTTTTCAAAGGGATCAAAGAGACGAAAATCTTAAAATACACTTGATGTAGTGCGATCTCTGCGCGATCCTACAAAGGTATCCCTGTGTCTCAGTGTACGTGATTGAAACAGTGCATTAGTGTATAAGTTGTTAATACAGATAAATCTTAGTTGAGTAAAAGGACACAAGTGCAACTAATGTGACATTTTATTGTAGCAACGTTTCGCTCTCCATAACGGCAAATAATGAAAATTACAAATAACTAATGAACAAAAAAAAAAAAAATAAGGGAAAAAAATCTTTAATAGTTATGTACACTTTTACGATATCAGAATCGTTTAATGTCTTTTTTAAGACATTTTTAAGTAACATACCTTAAAGATATTTGTTATATTAAACTTCCTTTTTAAGGTTACAATTATTTTATTTAAAGTGTTGCACTTTAGTAATAAAAACCTGAATATTTTAGTTTACTTGTTCTTATTGTAATATTAGATTATTAGATATATGTTCAAGTATTTTCCGAAATTATTGATATATGATAAAAAAAAGAGGGTAAATTAATATGTTAGAGTGATTAAATGTTTTAAATATTGTACTGTATAAATATGAATGAATGATGTATGTTCAACGTATAAATATAAATGTATGATGTATGTTCAACGTATAAATATAAATGTATGATGTATGTTCAACGTATAAATATAAATGAATAATGTATGTTCAACGTATAAATATAAAGGAATGATGTATGTTCAACGTATAAATATAAATGAATGATGTATGTTCAACGTATAAATATAAATGAATGATGTATGTTGAACATATATAAATATATAAATTATTGATGTATGTTCAACGTATAAATATAAAGGAATGATGTATGTTCAACGTATAAATATAAAGGAATGATGTATGTTCAACGTATAAATATAAATGAATGATGTATGTTCAACGTATAAATATAAAGGAATGATGTATGTTCAACGTATAAATGAATAAAAATTCATACTGATACTTATTTATAGTTATAATAACACATTTTCTTTGTCAAATAAAGACTATATAGAGTCTAATGTAATACTCAACAAACATTAAGGTTATGTATCACATTTATTTACTTCGCTTTTAGATTAAAAATAAATTATTCTCTTATTACAGGTGTAATGTCTCATTTAGATTAAATGTGAATCATTATTTAAGCAGCAGCAGAAGGAAATTTATGTTGCAACCTTAAATTTTTGAAGACTTGATTGAGACTTGTGTAAAAAGGAGTCTAAGATAAAGAATTGTGTTTTGTATCTCCACTAGTTATTTGCTGATGCTCCCGGCTAGCCCCTGAAAAATTTCTGTTCGGTGCAAACCATAGATGGATACATACCTCATCTACGTCCAAGGTTGGTCCTTGAAATTATGTGGCCTGGATCGCTTTCAAGGAGTTCTTCAAGTGAGAGTTTTCTTAACAAGCTTCTTACCGCTGATCAGTCTGGATGCATTCGGTCGCTGCTCGATCCGAGGAAGTATCATGGATTCCATAATCTCATTGCATTGTGACTCAGTGCAAGCGATTGCAAATATGCAAGAGTGTAGCATAAGATAATACAGTTAAATGTTAGTTTGAAGGGAATCAGAAGAAGGCATTCATAATTCATCATATAGTAACTAATAACCAAATTCTTCAGTAAAGTTGTAAATTAGGGATATATATATATATATATATATATATATATATATATATATATATATATATATATATATATATATATATATATATATATATATATTTGGATGTACATGTTTATCGAGGGGCCACAGATATATCAGATCACTTTCTAGTTGTAGCTACACTGAGAGTAAAAGGTAGATGGGATACAAGGAGAATAGAAGCATCAGGGAAGAGAGAGGTGAAAGGTTTATAAACTAAAAGAGGAGGCAGTTAGGGTAAGATATAAACAGCTATTGGAGGATAGATGGGCTAATGAGAGCATAGGCAATGGGGTCGAAGAGGAATGGGGTAGGTTTAAAAATGTAGTGTTAGAGTGTTCAGCAGAAGTTTGTGGTTACAGGAAAGTGGGTGCAGGAGGGAAGAGGAGCGATTGGTGGAATGATGATGTAAAGAGAGTAGTAAGGGAGAAAAAGTTAGCATATGAGAAGTTTTTACAAAGTAGAAGTGATGCAAGGAGGGAAGAGTATATGGAGAAAAAGAGAGAGGTTAAGAGAGTGGTGAAGCAATGTAAAAAGAGAGCAAATGAGAGAGTCGGTGAGCTGTTATCAACAAATTTTGTTGAAAATAAGAAAAAGTTTTGGAGTGAGATTAACAAGTTAAGGAAGCCTAGAGAACAAATGGATTTGTCAGTTAAAAATAGGAGAGGAGAGTTATTAAATGGAGAGTTAGAGGTATTGGGAAGATGGAGGGAATATTTTGAGGAATTGTTAAATGTTGATGAAGATAGGGAAGCTGTGATTTCGTGTATAGGGCAAGGAGGAATAACATCTTGTAGGAGTGAGGAAGAGCCAGTTGTGAGTGTGGGGGAAGTTCGAGAGGCAGTAGGTAAAATGAAAGGGGGTAAGGCAGCCGGGATTGATGGGATAAAGATAGAAATGTTAAAAGCAGGTGGGGATATAGTTTTGGAGTGGTTGGTGCAATTATTTAATAAATGTATGGAAGAGGGTAAGGTACCTAGGGATTGGCAGAGAGCATGCATAGTTCCTTTGTATAAAGGCAAAGGGGATAAAAGAGAGTGCAAAAATTATAGGGGGATAAGTCTGTTGAGTGTACCTGGTAAAGTGTATGGTAGAGTTATAATTGAAAGAATTAAGAGTAAGACGGAGAATAGGATAGCAGATGAACAAGGAGGCTTTAGGAAAGGTAGGGGGTGTGTGGACCAGGTGTTTACAGTGAAACATATAAGTGAACAGTATTTAGATAAGGCTAAAGAGGTCTTTGTGGCATTTATGGATTTGGAAAAGGCGTATGACAGGGTGGATAGGGGGGCAATGTGGCAGATGTTGCAAGTGTATGGTGTAGGAGGTAGGTTACTGAAAGCAGTGAAGAGTTTTTACGAGGATAGTGAGGCTCAAGTTAGAGTATGTAGAAAAGAGGGAAATTTTTTCCCAGTAAAAGTAGGCCTTAGACAAGGATGTGTGATGTCACCGTGGTTGTTTAATATATTTATAGATGGGGTTGTAAGAGAAGTAAATGCGAGGGTCTTGGCAAGAGGCGTGGAGTTAAAAGATAAAGAATCACACACAGGGTGGGAGTTGTCACAGCTGCTCTTTGCTGATGACACTGTGCTCTTGGGAGATTCTGAAGAGAAGCTGCAGAGATTGGTGGATGAATTTGGTAGGGTGTGCAAAAGAAGAAAATTAAAGGTGAATACAGGAAAGAGTAAGGTTATGAGGATAACAAAAAGATTAGGTGATGAAAGATTGAATATCAGATTGGAGGGAGAGAGTATGGAGGAGGTGAACGTATTCAGATATTTGGGAGTGGACGTGTCAGCGGATGGGTCTATGAAAGATGAGGTGAATCATAGAATTGATGAGGGAAAAAGAGTGAGTGGTGCACTTAGGAGTCTGTGGAGACAGAGAACTTTGTCCTTGGAGGCAAAGAGGGGAATGTATGAGAGTATAGTTTTACCAACGCTCTTATATGGGTGTGAAGCATGGGTGATGAATGTTGCAGCGAGGAGAAGGCTGGAGGCAGTGGAGATGTCATGTCTGAGGGCAATGTGTGGTGTGAATATAATGCAGAGAATTCGTAGTTTGGAAGTTAGGAGGAGGTGCGGGATTACTAAAACTGTTGTCCAGAGGGCTGAGGAAGGGTTGTTGAGGTGGTTCGGACATGTAGAGAGAATGGAGCGAAACAGAATAACTTCAAGAGTGTATCAGTCTGTAGTGGAAGGAAGGCGGGGTAGGGGTCGGCCTAGGAAGGGTTGGAGGGAGGGGGTAAAGGAGGTTTTGTGTGCGAGGGGCTTGGACTTCCAGCAGGCATGCGTGAGCGTGTTTGATAGGAGTGAATGGAGACAAATGGTTTTTAATACTTGACGTGCTGTTGGAGTGTGAGCAAAGTAACATTTATGAAGGGATTCAGGGAAACCGGCAGGCCGGACTTGAGTCCTGGAGATGGGAAGTACAGTGCCTGCACTCTGAAGGAGGGGTGTTAATGTTGCAGTTTAAAAACTGTAGAGTAAAGCACCCTTCTGGCAAGACAGTGATGGAGTGAATGATGGTGAAAGTTTTTCTTTTTTCGGGCCACCCTGCCTTGGTGGAATTGGCCAGTGTGATAATAAAAAAAAAAATAATATATATATATATATATATATATATATATATATATATATATATATATATATATATATATATATATATATATATATATATTGCAGAAATCAAATTCAAACCTTTCAGGGAGACCAATATCCTAAAATACTCAAGCACATTAAGTTACATTATCATGTTATGACCAGGAAGGCTTGAAGCTCATCACATACAGCACTCAGACATTATCGCATGAGAAGCAGTATTATGTTTTTCCAGTTTCTTTCAAACAAGTTGATTGGGACTTACAAAGGCTAAAATCAGTAAACGTTTCTCTAAATAAGATTGACCAGCTTTTAAGAAAGACGTTATATAAGAAAGTAACATACCAATGTTGAAGAATATTCTTGAGAGCATACTTGTTGTAAGCACATAGGTCATTTAAGTTTATTTAATCTAAGAAAGCCAAATAAAAGTCATATTTTGACATATTTCTAATCAGAAAAGATATTCTCCAATCATTTCACAGAAATCAACTTGAATAATAAAATTAACACATAACTTATACATCTTAACATCAAGAGATTGTTTCTCCTGACGAAAACAAATCAGCACTAGAAGTTTGAAGCTGATCAGGAGATGCATTCTCCAGTTATTGAGCAGAATCTTCCAAAATTTGTGCCTACACAGTTTAAACCCATGAAACAATCCATCCATTTCATAAAATGCATCTGCCATTGAAGATTGATGCCATTCACAATTCTTATATTGTTTGGTAACACTAGTAGAGGTGTGCGCAGTGATAAAGGTGGAAATACAATTCTGCATTCTTTTTTTTCTTTCTTTCATGAAGCCATAGAAATGAGAGGAAAGTTGGTGCCTGATTCTGTAGTATAGTCTGTTAAGTATCATCAATTATCATTCTGTTTGCGGTTTAGAGATAGATACATTGAAACTATCGGTCCCGGAAGTTGAAGAACACCATCGATGTTACTAAGATTATACAGTGGTAACAAAGAGTTATAAGAGACATAGATGCCTAAGAGTTCTGAGGATATCATAAGTTACATCATCCTCTCCAGGGCCAGTTGATCCACCTTTATTTTATACATTATCTAATTAGTACTCGGTGAAGAGGAAATCACCCTGATCAATATTTTGGTTCATAAATTTAATAATTTTCAACGTTGCTTCAGACACACACTGCGTTTGTTTAATATGAAATATGAGATTTTCGTGCACGGATGTTCTGGCCATTTATTTATGACTCATCTGCTTTTTCAAGAGGAAAACGATGAACAACATTACCACTCTTGTTCCTGGTTATTTTATTTATACTTTTCCAGGCTAAACTTAAAGGGGTAGATCTATTTAACTCACTAACAAATTGTTCCCATTTCTGTTGCCTAAGTTACGTTAGTGCAGCTTGGAAAATTTCGAGCAAGTCTTGGGTTCTACAGCCACAACATGTTTGACCAGTCTCCCTTGCTACATGTATTTAATTGAGTAGCTGTGTATCATTATAGTACTTATGATGGTGTTTGTTGCCATTTATGTCTCCTTTTTTCTATTCCATTGATCTGTGAGCAAGTTCTCAATGATGGTAACTAAATAATCATTGAGTTTTTGTTTGCCAGTGGGATCGTAATTCTGATTCCATTGATCCTGGTAATATAGTTCTCTCTGTGTTCCAGATTAAAAAAGAGTTTATTACTACTGTATTTAACTGATTGGTCGCTGGAAATATGATCAAGATTAACAGTCGTGAGTCTTGGGAAGTAATCAGATAGATCAACTATGACAAAGTCATGTATCGTTATGATATATTAAATCGAAGGCACATATCTAGTACGTCGCCATATATGTGAGTAGACTCAGTAGTGCCCGTAGTTCGAACATTATGAGACTCATTTAGAAATTTCTCTAGTATCATTGTTATAGACCCTCCAACATGCTTATGTCTGGCATTAAATCTCCGAGAAGGAGAGTAGGTTCATTACTGATGTGATCTGGTAAAGTATCAGGTAGAAACCGATTAACTGCGGCATAAAAAGTGAAGATGTTGATGGAAAAATTGCCTGCATGTACTTTGACACCATAATATTGCATGTCTACTCGACTTTGCATAGCAAGAAGTGAATGTGGCAAGTTCTTTCTAACATAGATTACTCAACAGTTAGTTGAGCTTAATATATACGCTGCAAATCCAGGCAACTTCAGGGAGAGGTACTCCAACTTGTAGTCTACATTCCTGTAAACAGATACTTAATTAGACTGCTGTTGCTGTGACGTACGAGCTCAAATAGCTGTTATAACTCGGCTGTTCTGGCATTTTCTGCAGAAACATATCGAGAGTCTTCATAAAGACTTTTGACTTTATTCCAACAAAAATTCTTACATTTTTTATATACAAACATGCAAATAAACACATCCATGATATAGGAATGACAATTTTGAGATTAGGTCACATAAAGGTGAGCAGAGGAATTTTTTTTAATACATCGGCCGTTTCCCACCAAGGTAGGGTGACCCAAAAAAGAAAAACTTTCACAATAAAAAAACAGAGTTCGTCACGGCCACTGTAACTGGAGATTCGTCTATAAAAACTTGCATTTGTGGTCACAGTGGTGGCCTATGCTAACCTTCCTATGGTGTAGAAATCTACCTAGTTGGAGGAATCTTATTGTGGCTAGAAATATACCTAGTTAGATGAATCTTATTGTGGCTAGCTGGTCCAGTGGCTAACGCGACTGTCTGGAGTTTTGAGACTCTGATCGCGGGTTCTATCCCCGCCCGTGGTATGGTTTGTTTGCAATCGGGTCATTACGATTTCGTGAGTCATGTTAACGTTCACCATCATTTACATCATCACTGTCTTGACCAGAGGTGAGCTTACACTACAATTACAGGAGATAGTAGGTTGGTAGACAGCAACCACCCAGGGAGGTACTACCGTCCTGCCAAATGAGTGTGAAACTGTTTTACACGATGGCAGGATTGCTGGTGTCCTTTTTCTATCTCATAGACACGCTGGATAACAGATATATCTGCTACTTCTACTTACACTTGGGTCACACTCCACAGGCACGCACATGTATATATATACATACATCTAGGTTTTTCTTCTTTTTCTTAATAGTTCTTGTTCTTCTTTATATCCTATATTCTCCATGGGGAAGTGGAAAAGAATCTTTCCTCCGTAAGTCATGCGTGTCGTATGAGTGGAATAAAATGCCGGGTGCAATGGGCTAGTAACCCCTTCTCATGTAGAAAACACTAAAACAAGGTGAAAAAACTTTATAAAACCGGAGGAAGTTAATATTTTTAATTTGGAAAAGAATATATCAGCAGGTGGGCTAATGTAATAAGATGTAAACCATAAAATAAATGGTGGAAAGAAAGTTGAAGGAATGCTAAGGTGTTTGGTTTAACTTATGTTGTCATTAAGATATTTGGATTAATGGTGAGACTTACTAAGAGGAGAGTTTGAGTGAAGGTATTAGGACAAGTAGAAGCTGGAAATGAAGTCCACGTCTTTCAGATAATCACTCAAAATATGTTCGACTGTTAGCACGGCCTGACAGTTCTCTCAGAGAAGCACTGGGCGTCTCTTTTCATAACATGTCCATGTATGAGTCTCGTATATTTTATACACAACCGTGAAATTATCACTTCCGACAACCGATAGATGTAGCTTTAAAAAACCGTTAGTTGGTCACTAACTTGTAAAGAAAAAAAACTGTTCTGCGGGAGACTGTGGAAAGGGCAGAGAAACCTGCTCTTTCCACAGGCTTCTCTGCCCTTATAATATTCATTGGAAAGCATTACATCTATGGGGATCATCTATTACCAGATGGAAGAGGTGAAGAAAAATGGCAGAGAGGGACTGACAAAAGTACTGAGTGAATTACATTGACAGACAGAATGAAGAGCCAAGTTGCGTGTGACGTAATGAAATGGATACAGAGATGGCGGTACCATCAGTGGTGTACTTAGACCACTAAGTCCAGCACTGGCGGAGCAGCATTCGCTCCTGCCATTGCTTGCAGTCGACTCTCCAGCTTTCACATGTCTTTTGACACAGTCTTGCCGCTTTCGTAACAGTTTCGACACCAGAGAAAGGGTCATCTTATGACAAAGACCAAAACCATAGTTTTTCCCTTGAAAAATATATTATACGGAAGCAGCATAAGTAACAATGGTATCGGTCAAAGTTGCGGTGGCAGTGCCATTGGCAACATCAGCAGTGATAGCACTAACAGTGACAACAGTTGAGTCAGCAGATGTGAAGTCAGCAGTAGGGGAGTCAGTAATGGTGGAAGAAGAAGTGGTGGCATCAATAGGAAAAGGGGTATCGGCACCAGTGTTGGCATTAATGAAAGCTGCACTAAGTGAAATGCATTTATCAGAGTCAAAAAAAAGTCACAAACTACTATCCACAATAAATTTTGACTGATGGGCAAATTTTCAAGCTAATGATGGAAAAAAATGAGGGAGAGATAAAGGAGCGTATGACTGATCTGGGGAGAGAGAGGGAGAGAGACGTGCCGATTCCTAAGAGGTTTTAAGAGTCTGACAACACAAAGAAGAAATGAACATGGCAGATACGCAGATGAATGGGGCGAGAAGTGTATTAAACATAGCTGTGAAAATGATAGTTATTTCTAGCAAGAACATGAGTGTGACTGTAAATGCTACAACTAAAGCAGCACGAATCCCTAGTAGAGATTCTGAACACTGAAACTTCCCAAGTTGGAATGGAAAAGCAAGAAATAGTAAGAACATAAATGAAAGATAAACTGAGGGAAGTTACAACTGTGTGAAGGCAGACGCTCATGGGATGTAAGTCAGTGGAGTGAAGATTGTAGGTGTTAGTATATTATTATTGGTAGTAATCAGAAAAATTATAGAATTATGAAAGCTAATGATTATAAATTATATGCAATACATATTCTAACATGCAAACTTATGTAGCCTGCAGTCAATGTATTTTGAGATGATTGATCTATTTTCTAGCATCATAAAAAGACCATGACTCGTTTTTCATAGAAAACCCTTTAAGAGCTGAGAAGTTTTCGTCACTTTTACAGAAATATATTTTCTTATATTCGGATGTCTATAACAGATATTGTTACATAAAGAGTGGCCATTATTTAATATGTAATTACAAAAAACATACTTTTATACTACAGGTTGAATCCATCTCTGGGCCTGAAACAACATCTAAGAGCAACTGGACCTTCACAGTTAAAGTAACAAACGACGCAATATCACTGTTCGTGTGGCTTGAGGTGGATGAGTCAGGTGTATTCTCTGATAATGGCTTCCTGATGACTGAATCACAGGTGGACATCTTATTTTATTCACTGTCAGAGACTACTGTAGATGCTCTCCAGAGCTCCATCACTGTTAAGTCTCTCACTGACACCTACAGTGAAGGTACTGTAGTTCATCCTGCAACTGAGGCTGTGCTCGACGATTCCTTCCATCCTAATGATATTAGGAATATTTTGTTTGTGTAAGTAATGCCATAATATACTATATTTAGAATATAACAGGCATTAAGGAATAAATTGATAACATTTTTGTTTAATTTTTTATTTTCCTACATGCTTTAATAATGGAGAAAAACACTCTCTGTCTCTCTCTCTCTTTACACACACACACACACACTACATATATATATATATATATATATATATATATATATATATATATATTATATATATATATATATTATACATAGGTAGGTAGTCAGCAACCACCCAGGGAGGTACTCGCCCTGCAAACTGAGTGTAAAACGGAAACCTGTAATTGTTTTACATGATGGTAGGATTGCTGGTGTCTTTTTTTCTGTCTCATAAACATGCAAGATTTCAGGTACGTCTTGCTACTACTTCTTACACTTAGGTCACACTACACATACATGTACAAGCATGTATATACACACACCCCTCTGGGTTTTCTTCTATTTTCTTTCTAGTTCTTGTTCTTGTTTATTTCCTGTTATCTCCATGGGGAAGTGGAACAGAATTCTTCCTCCGTAAGCCATGCGTGTTGTAAGAGGCGACTAAAATGCCGGGAGCAAGAGACTAGTAACCCCTTCTCCTGTATAGATTACTAAATTTAAAAAGAGAAACTATTGTTCTTTTTGGGCCACCCTGCCTTGGTGGGATACGGCCGGTTTGTTGAATATATTATATATATATATATATATATATATATATATATATATATATATATATATATATATAATATATATATATATGTTGTGCCGAATAAGTAAAACGCGATTTGGCTTAAATAGTAACGCACTTTTTGCCGAATAAGGCAAACGAAAATTTGTATATGCAATAAGTTCGCAAAAATCATTCTGAATTTAACAAACAAAATATATTTCATTGTGTTTGTTTATTATTATATTACTGTAAACTTGCAAGACAAACACAAACCCATAAATGTACACACAAGCACTTACATTATGTATACATTTCCTCACTGGCATTCTACACATACATGATAATGCATGTGTACACAAGCATATAAACATACATAATCTTTATATTATGCATATATATATATATATATATATATATATATATATATATATATATATATATATATATATATATATATATATATATATATATATATATATATATGCAAGACAAGCCATTTGTTCCATGAATATGAGTCGTTATCGTACAAAAACATTAAAAGTTTGAAACCGATTGGATGAGGCGTTTTTGAGTTAAGAGAAAAATAATTATAACATTTGGACGAAGAAGTAAAAATAAAGAAAAAACTCTTAAACTTCTTAAAGATCCCACTTGTGAGATACATAAAAATAATTGTTGCTGTCTTTTTATAGCCTCCCTTCAGGGGTACCTAATTAAAGCTTCCCTTCAGGGGTACCTAATTAAAGCTTCCCTTCAGGGGTACCTAATTAAAGCTTCCCTTCAGGGGTACCTAATTAAAGCTTCCTTCAGGGGTACCTAATTAAAGCTTCCCTTCAGGGGTACCTAATTAAAGCTTCCCTTCAGGGGTACCTAATTAAAGCTTCCCTTCAGGGGTACCTAATTAAAGCTTCCCTTGAGGGGTACCTAATTAAAGCTTCCCTTCAGGGGTACCTAATAAACTGGACACATTGTTCAATGAACATGAATTACAGATTTTAATCTGCTTTATTTATCGGCCGTTTTGCATTCTCCGATACTGATGTTATTTGATAGAAGTGAGAGACAGAATGATGGCAAAACATGTCACTGAGACAAAACATGTCACTAAGACAAAACATTTCACTAAGACAAAACACGTCACTAAGACAAAACACGTCACTAAGACAAAACATGTCACTAAGACAAAACGTGTCACTAAGACAAAACATGTTACTAAGACAAAACATGTCACTAAGACAAAACATGTCACTAAGACAAAACATGTCACTAAGATAAAACATGTCACTAAGACAAAACATGTCACTAAGACAAAACATGTCACTAAGACAAAACGTGTCACTAAGACAAAACATGACCCGACACAATGACAACAACTAACTGTGAAGGTCCAGTTGCTCTTAGCTGTTGTTTCAGGCCCAGAGATGGACTCAACCTGTAGTATAAAAGTATGTGTCTTTTGTAACTACATATTAAATAATGGTCACTCCTTATGTAACATTGGTATTTCTTCAAGATAACCACCTGATAAATAAGAACATAAGAACATAAGAAAGGAGGAACACTGCAGCAGGCCTGTTGGCCCATACTAGGCAGGTCCTTTACAATTCATCCCACTAACAAACATTTGACCAACCCAATTTTCAATGCCACCCAAGAAACAAGCTCCGATGTGCAAGTCCCACTCAAATCCAACCCCTCCCACTCATGTACTTATCCAACCTAAATTTGAAACTACCCAAAGTCCTAGCCTCAATAACCCAACTAGGTAGACTGTTCCACTCATCAACTACCCTATTTCCAAACCAATACTTTCCTATGTCCTTTCTAAATCTAAACTTATCCAACTTAAATCCATTACTGCGGGTTCTCTCTTGGAGAGATATCCTCAAGACCTTGTTAATATCCCCTTTATTAATACCTATCTTCCACTTATACACTTCGATCAGGTCTCCCCTCATTCTTCGTCTAACAAGTGAATGTAACTTAAGAGTCTTCAATCTTTCTTCATAAGGAAGATTTCTAATGCTATGTATTAATTTAGTCATCCTACGCTGAATGTTTTCTAACGAATTTATGTCCATTCTGTAATATGGAGACCTTCACCTCTACAACCACTTAATTATGGAAGAAAAAATCAACATCTGTGTTACATAAAGTAAAGTAGAAGGTTGAAAATTATCTTACGAAAAATAAAGAGTTGCTAGAATGAAATATATTCAATACGTCTCTCTCACTTTTGTCACATCTTCACTTCTCTGACATCTTCTATATCATGAGAAAACATTGGTAAATAAAAACTCACACAAATAAAACAATACAAGTCTGTTAAGCAAATAGAATCTTCAAGCTCCGAGTCTCGACCTCCTGACAAAAGGAGTCCATCTGTATCCCATCATTAAATAATAAAAAAAGGCACAATACCGTGACTGGAACGATACACAAATAACTCGCACATAGAAGAGAAGAGTTTACGACGACGTTTCGGTCCGATTTGGACCATTTACAAAGGCAGACTAACGAGAAGTAGAGCAGGACGGGTATATATAGGCAAGAAGAGGAGGAAGAGGAAGTGGAAGAGGATGTGGTGGTGGTGGTGGTGGTGGTGGTGGTGGTGGTGGTGGCGGCGGCGGCGGCGGCGGCGGTGGTGGTTGTCTTTCTTCTGTCTCGTGTTTCTGCTCCTTCATTATTTATTTCATCACTTCCTTTTCTTCCCCACTACTACCACCACCACTACCTCTTCCTGCCTATATATTCTCAACTCCTGCATCTAAGAGTTTCCCAGGAATCCATCCGTGGGCCCCCGGATGTCTTCCCTTCCCCTGAACTTCTGGAAATTTCTTTCGATATTTTTATATCCCTCACTCAGTCCCACCCCCCCCAGAGGTCAGAAGTCCCACCCCTGGTCCGTGGGTCCAGGTACACACCCTTCACTACTTCCCTGAGGTCAGCAAGTCCCACCCCAGGTCCGTGCTTCCAGGTATTTACCCTTCACCACGTCCCTGAGGTCAGCAGTCCCACCCCAGGTCCGTGGGTCAAGGTACACACCCTTCACCACTTCCCTGAGGTTGGCAAGTCCTACCCCAGGTCCGTGGTTCCAGGTATACACTCTTCAAAACTTCCCTGAGGTCAGCAGTCCCACTCTAGGTCCGTGGTTCCAAGTGTTCATCCATACACCCTTCTGAGGTTGACAGTAGTCACAAACTCTTAAGGTTTCTGGTGTTTCTCCTACATCTAAGCTCTTTCTCCAAAGGACAGCGAGTGCACGTGCTAGCTTTATTTTGCATTTCTTTTTTTATACGGAATCCTATAATTCCTGTCAAGGTACTGATTGAGTGGGCATTTTTTTCCAATTCTCCAGGATTAGTTATGTTAATTATATATGTAGATTCAGAGCTAAACCCCAGAAATTTCATTATCCACCCTGCTTTGCTATAGTAAATCGCTGAACATTAGATCATATTGGTCTTTCAAACATTGAATAATATTGACCTTTCAGACACTGAATAATATCAGTCTTTCAAACAATGAATCATAATGGTCTTTCAGAATTTCAATCATTCCGTTTCATCGTCAGTATTCGAACTCTTGTGGTTAATGTCCCAATTCTACAGGTAGTTCTTAATGTGGGTTTCACATTTGTGAAGATTTATTTGAAGTTTTTTGCAATATCTTGGACAGTGTTTTGTTCCCTTTCTACACCTTCCGTCTGGTACAGTAACTTAAGTATTTCTTCTATCTCTGTAATCTCCCTGCATAGATTGTCTTTCCTTCGTTGTGACATTCACATTCTAAGTCGTTCGTTAATCCTTTTTAAACCTGAACATTCATCTAAGTTCTATACAACAGTACGTTTCCACACTAGCAAGTCTACGTCACCACTGTTAATCAGAACTTTTAAATCTTTATCGCACTCAGAGTGAGTAAAATCTACATTATTCAGTTTATGACCGTCATGGTTATTTTTTTTTCCAAGCCTTAGAAATTTGCATTTGTCTATATTAAACTGCATCTGGCTCTTCTCTAACCATTGCATCTGTCTTTTTAGATCTTCCTGCAGCACTCCAGTGTTCTCGTCACAATTAATCCGACTGCCTATTTTGGTGTAATTGACAAACTTGGTTATGTACCTATTTATTCTCTCATCAACGTCGTTTATATCTACTGTGAACAACAAAAAGCCCAACACTGACCCCTGTGGAACACCTCTTCTGACGCGTCCCCACTCTGATTTTTCCCACATTTATACAAACTCTCTGCTTCCTATCTGTCAACCACGCCTCTATCCAGGAAAAATTTCTCTTCCTGTTCCGTATGCCTCTGCTTTCTTGAACAATCTCCGATGTGGAACCTTATCAAAAGCCTTTCTGAAGTTCATATACACAGTATCATTTTCGTTACTATGAACTACCTCCTCAAAATACGTTAGTGAAAAAAGTAAGCAAATTCGTAATGCAAGAACTCCCCTTTGTAAAACCATGCTGAGATTCACTGATCAGTGCCTTCGAATAGCCTCGGCAATTATTGATTCCATCAATTTTTCCACAATAGAAGTTAGGCTTATTGGTTCATAATTCGAATCTAAAGACCTGTCTCCTGCTTTGTAGATAGGTACCACATCTGCCATTTTTCAATTATCTGGCACTATGGCAGTTTATAGTGTTATGTTAAAAAATCTAGCCAATAGTTTGTTAAGTTTCTCTTGCATTACTTTATAACCCTTGTAAATAGTTCATCAGGGCAGGGGGATTTTTTAGTTTTTGAGACATCAGTTTGTCTGAGAATCATGTCACTGGGAACTTTGATCGTGCACAACTTATTTTCGTCCCTATCTACATATTTTTTTTTATTTCCTGGACTTCTCTAGTATCTTTCTTCGTAAAAACCGAGAGGAAATAAGTGTTGAAAATTGAACACATTTCTTTGTCAATGTCAGTGTACTGACCGGAGCAGCTTTTAAATAGACCTATTTTGTCCCTAATCTTATTCCTATATACCTGAAAGAAACCTTTTTTGGGTTAATCTTCGATTACCTTGTGACTTTAAAACTTCATAATCCATTTTGGCTTTTCTTATATTTTTTTATTTTTATTTTTAATTGAATATATTAATGTCTTAAATGCCCCTCTTCCCTAATCTGCACATGTCTCTTTTACGACCTATTTAGGATTTTTATGCTTCATATAATTTCCCTATTTGGAACATAAGTAATCTGGGAAGATTGAACTATGCTTTGAACAATAACCTACATGATAAAGACAGGTCAGGTCACACCAATTCAAAACACCCAGGTAATTTCTCAGTCCCATGAAATCGGCCAAGCAGTAGTAGTTATTAAGGTAATTCCATGATATATCGAAAGTGAGTGATTTGTGATCGCTTTCCCCAAGCTCATCATTAAGCTAATTAATTATTACTTGTTGGCAAGCAGGATGTTTCCTCTAGTTGGTTCTGGATAGTATCAAGAAAGTCACTAGACTCAAAATTTTCTGTCAAATTACTCCAATCAATTTGCCTAAGTTAAAAATCTCTCACTAACACAACATTTTCGTATTTAGATGCCTTATGAATTTCGTCCCATAGAAGATTACCGAGTTAACTATCAAGATTTGTTAGCCTGTAAATCACTTCCAAGATTAGTTTTTGACGACCCTCCAGACTATAGCGAAAGAGATTCAGTGCCCGTCTCTTCTGATTTTATATCTCTGACAAGCATCGCCGTTCCACCTCCCTCCCTATTAATCCTATGGGTGTGGAACAATTTATAGCCTTGTATGTGACATTCAGAAGGCATTTCTCTTTTTTTCAGGTTGAACCAGGTTTCTGTTATAACAATAATAATCTATGCTTTCTGCTTATGTAATAAATCTTAGCTCATCTATCTTATTTCTTACTCTCCTACTATTAATATAGTAAAGCTTAAGGGAGTTAGTCACTCGCTACCCTCTACTGTCTCTATTTGTTGACCAGTTCCATTGCATTTAATAACTTTATGATTAACAATGTCTTTTGAATATATTCTTGAGGTATTCTGGCAATTTTTGCCGCTTTCTTCCCTCGTTCTGGAAACTAATTGTTTCCCCACACACTTATATCTCTATCGTCTATCAGTTTAAAGTCCTAAAGTACTCAACAACGGCTCCTCTATCAGTTTAAAGTCCTAAACAACTCAGCACTGGCTCCCTCGACAAAAATGGCTAACACTGCCTCAGAGGTATTCGCCGGATCTCCTGCATACATGAATTTGACCCATTTGTCAGTGTGATCGCAAGTTCTTTGCAGCATCTGCCTAGCCAGCAATTTGCACCAATATTCATAGACATCCATTCATTGCTACACATGTAGCTTTCCTGTACTTATTTAGTAACTCCTGTCGCCTTCCCTTCCCAACATTGTTGTCTCCGGCAATGAAGCAGATAATGGGCTTGTTCCCATTACCTGACATGATATTATCCAATCTGTTGACTGTCACCAATACAAGGAATAAATAAAGGGGATGTAAATAGTGTGCTGAAAATATCTAGCCTAGACAGGACTCGCAGCAATGGTTTTAAGTTGGAAAAATTCAGATTCAGGAAGGATATAGGAAAGTACTGGTTTGGTAATAGAGTTGTGGATGAGTGGAACAAACTCCCAAGTACCGTTATAGAGGCCAGAACGTTGTGTAGCTTTAAAAATAGGTTGGATAAATACATGAGTAGATGTGGGTGGGTGTGAGTTAGACCTGATAGCTTGTGCTAACAGGTCGGTTGCCGTGTTCCTCCCTTAAGTCAATGTGACCTGACCTGACTAGGTTGGGTGCATTGGCTTAAGCCGGTAGGAGACTTGGACCTGCCTCGCATGGGCCAGTAGGCCTTCTGCAGTGTTCCTTCGTTCTTATGTTCTTATGTTCTTAACACCACCACCTAAGAAACACACGTTTTCTCTCACCTTCCTTACAGAAAGTACGGTCAATATATCTTACCTGTGAGCCACCGACTACAAGGGTATTGAGTTAGTGGTTCTTTTATTCTCAATGACCATTGACGTACATGCGTTCTGGGAAACAGAGAAGCGATTTCCTATCATCTCTATGAACGTTCCTCACTGGTTTGGTAATAGAGTTGTGGATGAGTGGAACAAACTCCCGAGTACAGTTATTGAGGCTTAAACGCTGTGTAGTTTTAAAAATAGGTTAGATAAATACATGAATGGGTGTGAGTTGGACCTGACTAGCTTGTGCTGCTGGGTCTGGTGCCGTGCTCCTTCCTTGAGAGGAGGTGACCAGACTGGGTGGGTTACTGGGCTAATCTGGGAAGGGGGACATGGACCTGCTTCGCATGGGTCAGTAGGCTGTTGCAGTGCTCCTTCATTCTTATGTTCTTATGTTCATGTTTCTTTCTGTACTGGAAACATCTACCCACTTGTAACGGCTGCCAATCTGCTCCTCACTGCTGGTAACCTATTTTCCTTCACTAACCCCAATCACCTCACATTCATTGTTATTATCCAGGCGAATTTTTAGCTTCTTATTTTCCTCCTTGAGAAGTAGAACCTGCATCTCTTTGTTTACTATTGTAGAGTATCTACTGAAAAAACACTCTTCCCCTTTCATTTAAGTTTTGGCTACTAGCAAAGTCCATTGAACCATAGTTCCCTTTTGTGTTTTTTTGGTTTCTATACATGTTGCTTCTTGACACACTTGCAGAAGTGGGAACTGGCAAATGATGTCCAAAATGGAACAGGGTTAATGAATAGGAAATATGAGGGATGAGTGGGGAAGACTGGAATGAAGTGAAACAGCTGGTGTCTTCAAGAGGGGAAGGTGAGGAGGCAGAAGATAAGGCGGAACACCTGGTAAAATTCTCATCAGATATTTGATGTACTGTCAGTCTCAGTAAGCTTGGTGTCACACGTCCATCACTCTAAGGTCAGTTGGTACTGTTTTAGTCTCAGTGAGCTTGGTGTCATACGTCCATCACTAAGGTCAGTTGATACTGTTTCTTCCAATTCACTTCGTCTGATGTTGACATCATAAACTAGACACAGCACTATGTATACAGTACATTTTCTCCGCGAACTGTGTTGCAAATATCACCTTAAGGACTTTGCCTGTTGTTTAGTACGTGAGTTTCTTAAGAAACTGCCTTCAGTAACAATCAAGGAAACCCGTCAGTTGTTATTATTATTATTAATTAACTGTACTGAAGGATCACCTCCTTGAAGAGGGTAATAACACAAACGTATCTATGTACATATATACATTATACATCCATATATATACACACACACATGATGTCTAAGCGGTAGTGATTTTTATTATTGTTATAGTTAAAATCAGTCTCATGTGACTTTTGACTGCTCGGGAAGATATGTTGATTTGTCACACTGCTTATGGCTAGCATTTATTTTTTGTGTAAAGTTGAAGTAAATATTTGTGTGCTATTATGAAAAGTGATTAAGGTATAGTGGAAAATTTCCTGTTGACCCTAGTTGACCTTAGTTGACCTTAGTTGACCCCGTTGCGACCGCGGGTCTCAGTTCTTCCTCTTGATATTTTTTTGTGTGTGTTCTTTCTTAAATTTCTTTATTGTGCTTGAAACTTTAATATATTTGGTAGAGGAGTTGGGAGTGTTGATATTCTGAGATTTTTGATGAAGAGCGTGAGTGTTTGGGTGAGACTTCTGGGGAAACAATTAATGGCCAAAACGAATATTTACAGAGGAAAGAGAAGTTGACCAGTTACCCACCTGCTGTAACCCAGTCACCCAGTTGCTGGTCTGTCACCCATTTTAGTGGGTGCCTGTGTCACCCGGCTTCTGTGACCATCACCCGCTGGCTGTCAGAGTGACCGCACTATCAGTTACCTGAAGTGACCTCACCTCAACCAGGTATCAGACATCTGGATCAAATACCTTCTGGCTGGACGTCCAACACTCACCAGCCACCCACCAGGCAGCCGGCGCAGTGGTTGACCTACCACTAATCTTAGTACCTGGTGACCGTGTTAATGACCTTCCAGCCACTGACAATAATCAGGTGATGCTGCTGCTATGCTGTGATGCTGCTGCTATGCTGTGATGCTGCTGCCATACTGTGTGCTGCTGCTATGCTGTGTTGCTGCTGTCATCCTGTGATGCTGCTGTCATGCTCTGATGCTGCTGTCGGCTGTTTGTGATGCTGCTGTCAGCTGTTTGTGATGCTGCTGTCTACCGCAGCCTGTGCAGATGAGCTGTGAGGTTGCCGTTATGGTGGGAACTATTATGCTGTTGCTGTGTTGGGAATTGATAGGCTGCTGCTAGCTGGAATGCTGTTGCCTAGCTCCTTGTGGATGTGATGGTGATGTTGAGGTGGAGTATGAGGAATGCTGGCTGATGCGTCATGGGAGTACCTGCCACCTATGAGATGCCGTCTTCGGGGAAGTAGAAAGAAGTCAACCTTGAGGATGGACTGTAGCTGTTGGAACCAGCCTGCAGCTGTTGGCTTGTTATGGAAGCTGTATTCTGTTTTGCTAGCCGACCTGTACTGCCAGTATGAGAATGTCCTGCCAGCCATGAGAGATAAAGGAATAGTGTTAGTGTTACCTGTATGGAATAAGAACATAAGAACATAAGAACGAAGGAACACTGCAGAAGGCCTACTGGCCCATGCGAGGCAGGTCCAAGTCTCCTACCGGCTTAAGCCAATGCACCCAACCTAGTCAGGTCAGGTCACATTGACTTAAGGGAGGAACACGGCAACCGACCTGTTAGCACAAGCTATCAGGTCTAACTCACACCCACCCACATCTACTCATGTATTTATCCAACCTATTTTTAAAGCTACACAACGTTCTGGCCTCTATAACGGTACTTGGGAGTTTGTTCCACTCATCCACAACTCTATTACCAAACCAGTACTTTCCTATATCCTTCCTGAATCTGAATTTTTCCAACTTTAAAACCATTGCTGCGAGTCCTGTCTAGGCTAGATATTTTCAGCACACTATTTACATCCCTTTTATTTATTCCTGTCTTCCATTTATACACCTCAATCATATCCCCTCTAATTCTACGTCTTTCTAGAGAGTGCAGTTTCAGGGCCCTTAGTCTATCCTCATAGGGAAGGTTTCTGATACATGGGATCATCTTTGTCATCCTCCTTTGTACATTTTCCAGAGAATTTATATCCATTCTGTAATACGGTGACCAAAACTGTGCAGCATAATCTAAATGAGGCCTAACCATGGATGTATAGAGTTGAAGAACAACCTGAGGACTCCTATTATTTATGCTTCTTGATATGAAGCCAAGGATTCTATTAGCTTTATTGCGAACACTTATGCACTGTTGTCTTGGTTTCAGATTACTGCTAACCAGAACTCCTAAATCTTTTTCGCAATCCGTAATATTAAGATCTACATTATTTAGTTTATATGTGGCATGGTTATTGTCCTGTCCAACATTTAGAACTTTGCATTTGTCTATATTAAACTGCATCTGCCACTTCTCCGACCACTGCATCAGTCTATTCAAATCTTCCTGGAGTGCTCGAATGTCCTCGTCAGAATGAATTCGACGGCCTATTTTGGTGTCATCGGCAAACTTGCCGATGTCGCTCTTTATGCCCTCATCTATGTCGTTTATGTAGATTGTGAACAGCAGGGGGCCCAACACTGACCCCTGTGGAACACCGCTCGTGACGCTTCCCCACTCTGATTTCTCCCCATTTATGCAAACTCTCTGCTGCCTATTTGTCAACCATGCCTCTATCCAGGAAAAAATTTCTCCTCCTATTCCATGTGCTTTAATTTTCCTCAATAGTCTCTGATGTGGGGACCCTGTCAAAAGCCTTACTGAAGTCCATATACACAATATCATATTCATTACCATGATCTACCTCCTCAAATACCTTAGTGAAAAAAGTTAATAAATTCGTAAGGCAGGAACGCCCCTTTGTAAAACCATGCTGAGATTCGTTGATTAATTTATGCTTTTCAAGATGGCTACGAACTGCCTCGGCAATTATTGATTCCATAAATTTTCCCACTATGGAGGTTAGGCTTATTGGTCTATAGTTCGAAGCTAAGGACCTGTCACCTGTTTTGAAAATAGGTATCACATTTGCCATTTTCCACTTATCTGGCACCATGCCAGTTTGTAGTGATATGTTGAAAAGATTAGCCAAAGGTGTGCTAAGCTCCTCTTTACATTCCTTTAGAACCCTTGCATACAGTTCATCAGGGCCTGGGGATTTGTTAGGTTTTAATTTATCTATTTGCCTATGGACCATGTCACTTGTGACCCTAATAGTGCACAGTTTATTATCGTCCTGTTCTACATAATTTATCATTACTGGAATATCGCTGGTATCCTCCTGTGTAAAAACTGAGAGGAAGTATGTGTTAAAAATTCTACACATTTCCTTATCACTGTCAGTGAGCTGATCCGAGGAACTTTTGAGTGGGCCTATCTTGTCCCTGATCTTACTTCTGTATACCTGAAAGAATCCTTTTGGGTTAGTCTTCGATTCTTTTGCAACTTTAACCTCATAATCTCTTTTTGCTTTTCTAATTCCCTTTTTTATTTCTCTCTTTAACTGAATATATCGATTTCCTCTTTTGATTTGCCTATATATGCCTCTCTTTTGACCAATCAGATATTTTAATCTATTGTTCATCCATTTAGGATCATTTTTGTTTGATCTGATTTCCCTATTTGGAACATAATTTGACTGAGCAGCTAGAACTATGCCCTGGAAAGCATCATATCGGCAACCATCACCACCTACCTGACCCTTAGTCAGGTCATTCCAGTTCAGCCCACCTAAGTAATTTTTCAGTCCTATGAAATCAGCCAAGCGAAAGTCAGGGACGGAGACTTGATTGCCATTATTAGGGGAATTCCATGATATATTAAAACTGAGTGATTTGTGATCACTCTCCCCAAGCTCATCATTAACCTCAAGATTATTAATTAGTGTTTCCCTACTGGCAAGAAACCAAGTCAAGGAGGTTATTTCCCCTAGTTGGCTCTGTCACAAACTGTTTTAAAAAACAATCCTGGATCGTATCAAGAAAGTCACCCGACTCTAAATTTCCTGTCAAATTGCTCCAGTCAATCTGTCTATAGTTGAAATCTCCCATTAGCACAACATTTTCGTATGTAGATGCCTTACGAATTTCGTCCCATAGAAGTTTACTGCACTCCCTATCAAGATTTGGGCCCTGTAAATCACACCCAAAATTAGTTTTTCTCGGCCCTCGAGAAGCTGTAACCAAACAGATTCAGTGGCTGACGCTTCTAATTTAATATCTTGTCAAACACAACAATTTAAATTGTCTCTGACATACATCGCTACTCCACCACCTTTCCTGTTGACCCTGTCAGTGTGGAATAATTTATAGCCTTGTATGTGACATTCAGAGGGCATCTCTCTATCTTTCAGATTGAGCCAGGTCTCTGTTATAGCAATAATATCTATGTTTCCTGCACTTGCAATTAATCTTAGCTCATCTATCTTATTTCTAACACTCCTGCTATTAGTATAGTAAACCTTAAGGGAGCTAGTCCCTTGCTGCCCTCTGCTGTCCCCCTTTGTTTGCTGACCTGTTCTATTGTCTTTATTTATAACTTCATGCTGAATGCCTTTTATACATTTACTGTTTCCAACCCTAGTGTTGCAACCTGCTTGTTTCCCACACACACCCATACCTCTATCTTCCATCAGTTTAAAATCATAGGCATTTCACCAATGGCCTTCTCAATCGAGTCTGCAAGTGCTACCACCCCTGACCCAGAGAGATGTACCCCATCCCTTGCATACATATCATGTTTGCCATAAAAGTTGTTCCAGTTGTCAATGAATGGGATTGCAAGTTCCTTGCAGTATCTGTCTAGCCAGCAATTTACACCAATTGCCCTAGACAACCATTCATTTCCTACTCCCCTT